AAAAACGAAAAGAACATCTTATGTCTTTCGAAAATAGCTGAACAGTGATAAATCACAGTCTTTCATGCAAAGCCAAACTAAATTATTTTCTTGACGGCGCGTTTAAAGTTAAACCTATACTAACACTACCGAGCTTCTGGAGTGTAAAAACCTTTGCAAGATATCGGAAGGTTTACAAATGTAAAAATGTTGACTAGAAGTGACATGTATCAGATCATGAATTCACAATGTCGAACAATACCGTTGCACATTGTTGCACATAAAAAAGTTTTATTGTTTAGCACCAATTATCATTTGACTTAAAATAACAGTCAAATTCAATTAATAAAGGAAGAAAAGCTATTCAACCGACACAGTCAAATTTCAGTTGTGTGTTCAGTTCACTGCAAGTGAAACAGAGATTTAGCTACAATCATGAAGGATCGTACTAGCTTTCATTACGAACTTTTTACAAGCTATAACTATATAACGGACCAAACCATTTTGAGTTTAGTTTAAATATGGAGCTATCGACGCATATCCTTCGTAATTGCTAATTTAGTTGAGACAAAACATGCAGTTTTATAGCAAATTTAGGCAAATATTTAGCTAATGTATATTTGCACACTTTGTATAATTTTAAATCTCCTAAATAGTTGAAACGAACAATGTAATTATACAGCATTTCTTCATAAAAAACCCAAACTAACTATTTTGTATACTGCACTTCAAATGTTGAGCGTTACTAACAAGTTTCTGCATGGCTGTAAGTTAAACGTCTGCATATGGGTCTGTTCATATCAAAACGTTAATTAGAGTTGAAATGAATGATCGATTCACAGCATTGTTGAAATAATGCAGTTCCATAATGTTGACTGCAAAGAGTCCTCAGGTAGTTTGACAGAGTACCATTAATCTCTTGATATACGTAACGGTAAAGATTACTGCTGCAAATGCTAATTTGAGAGAAAAGGAGATTATGAAAAGGAAGAAATGGTATTGAGACTACACAGTTAGATTTCAGTTGTGTTTTAGTTCACTGCAAGTCAAACTTTATAATTTAGCAAAATTATAGAAGACCTCTGTTCCTGTTTTATCACAATCGTTTTACTTGGCTTGGCAATTTACATTAAAAGTGGCACAATAAATTATAAAAGTGACAAAACTGAAATATCACAAAATGCATAAAGCCTATATCCGCAAAAGCACCAGAATTAACTTAGAAAAATCTCTGCAGGTTTCATGTAGCGCCAATAAATATAATAGCTGAACGTCAGAGACATTTTATGTCGCATTGAAATGCTTCATATAGTTCATATTAGAACAAAGACGTTTAACCACTGATCTTGAGCACATACATACATGCGAATACGGACAGCACGCGCAAACTGAAGACTATTTCCCCATCGTTTTAAATTCATGTTATCTAGAGATGACAAGTTTATATTTCGTAAACATAATGCTGCATTTTCCAATACTGTCTTATAAATCATTTGTAATGTAATTATTCATAACGAACTCTTACTTGCTGCATGGTATGGTATAGTTTTGTTTACGTTCCAAATATATCTGTTGCTTATTCTTTATGCATATTGGTCTATCACTTTCACACCGTTTATAGTAGGAGTTTATTAAAAATTTAAGTATTCAAAAGTTCGTTTCGAAACTAATCAAACCCTTGACATCTTACGAAAACTGTAAAATTCCAAATAAATTCAGCAAACGAAATCGTGTAATTTCAGGCAATGATTCCTCTTTGCTTTTCATTGCAAAAATCCTTCAAAATGTTGAACTCTTAATTACTTCAAACATCAATCCATATTGAATTGTAATGACGTAAAACAGAAGAACATCTTATGTCTTTCGAAAATAGCTGAACGTGATAAATCACCAGTCTTTTCATGCAAAACCCAAACTAAAAGTATTTTCTTGACGGCGCGTTTAAAGTTAAGCCTATACTAGCTACCGAGCTTCTGGGTGTAAAACTTTGCAAGTATCGGAAAGGTTTACAAATGTAAAACGTTGACTAGAAGTGACGTAATCAGATCATGAATTCTGTGTCGAACAATACCGTGCACATTGTTGCACATAAAAAGTTTTATTGTTTAGCTCCAATTATCATTTGACTTAAAATAACAGTCAAATTAAATTAATAAAGGAAGAAAAGCGCTATTCAACCGACACAGTCAAATTTCAGTTGTGTGTTCAGTTCACTGCAAGTGAAACAGAGATTGCTTTACAATCATGAAAAGGATCGTACTAGCTTTCATTACGAACTTTTACAACCTATAACTATATAACGGACCAACCATTGCAGAGTTTAGTTTAAATATGGAGCTATCGACGCATATCCTTCGTAATTGCTAATTTAGTTGAGACAAAACATGCAGTTTATAGCAAATTTAGGCAAATATTTAGCTAATGTATATTTGCACACTTTGTAATAATTTTAAATCTCCTAAATAGTTGAAACGAACAATGTAATTATACAGCATTTCTTCATGAAAACCCAAACTAACTATTTTGTATACTGCACTTCAAATGTTGAGCGTTACTAACAAGTTTCTGCATGGCTGTAAGTTAAACGTCTGCACGTATGGGTCTGTTCATATCAAAACGTTAATTAGAGTTGAAATGAATGATCCTGATTCACATTGTTGAAATAATGCAGTTCCATAATGTTGACAAAGAGTCCTCAGGTAGTTTGACGGAAATACCATTAATCTCTTGACGTATACGTAACGGTAAAGATTGTTGCAAATGCTAATTTGAGAAAAAGGAGACTATGAAAAGGAAAGAAATGGTAGTGAGACTACACAGTTAGATTTCAGTTGTGTTTTTAGTTCACTGCAAGTCAAACTTTATAATTTAGCAAAATTATGAAGACCTCTGTTCCTGTTTTATCACAATCGTTTTACTTGCAGCAATTTACATTAAAAGTGGCACAATAAATTATAAAAAGTGACAAAACTGAAATATCACAAAATGCATAAAGCCTATATCGAAAAGCACCAGAATTAACTTAGAAAAATCTCTGCAGGGTTTCATGTAGCGCCAATAAATATAATAGCTGAACGTCAGAACATTTTATGTCGCATTGAAATGCTTCATATAGTTCATATTAGAACAAGACGTTTAACCACTGATCTTGAGCACATACATACATGCGAATACGGATTGGCACGCGCAAACTGAAGACTATTTCCCCCATCGTTTTAAATTCATGTTATCTAGAGATGACAAGTTTATATTTCGTAAACATAATGCTGCATTTTCCAATACTGTCTTATAAATCATTTGTAATGTAATTATTCATAACGAATTCTTACTTGCTGCATGGTATGATATAGTTTTGTTTACGTTCCAAATATATCTGTTGCTTATTCTTTATGCATATTGGTCTATCCGCTGTTCACACCGTTTATAGTAGAGTTTATTAAAAATTTAAGTATTCAAAAGTTCGTTTCGAAACTAATCAAACACTTGACATCTTACACGAAAACTGTAAAATTCCAAATAAATTCAACAAACGAAATCGTGTAATTTCAGGCAATGATTCCTCTTTGCTTTTTCATTGCAAAATCCTTCAAAATGTTGAACTCTCAAGCCTTTAAAACATCAATCCCATATTGAATTGTAATGACACGTAAAAACGAAGAACATCTTATGTCTTTCGAAAATAGCTGAACGTGATAAATCACAGTCTTTTCATGCAAAACCAAACTAAAGTATTTTTCTTGACGGCGCGTTTAAAAGTTAAACCTATACTAGCTACCGAGCTTCTGGGTGTAAAACTTTTGCAAGTATCGGAAGGTTTACAAATGTAAAACGTTGACTAGAAGTGACATGTATCAGATCATTGAATTCACAATGTCGAACAATACCGTTGCACATTGTTGCACATAAAAATTTTATTGGCTCAATTATCATTTTGACTTAAAATAACAGTCAAATTAAATTAATAAAGGAAGAAAAGCTATTCAACTGACACAGTCAAATTTCAGTTGTGTGTTCAGTTCACTGCAAGTGAAACAGAGATTTAGCTACAATCATGAAAGGATCGTACTAGCTTTCATTACGAACTTTTACAACCTATAACTATATAACGGACCAACCATTGCTAGAGTTTAGTTTAAATATGGAGCTATCGACGCATATCCTCGTAATTGCTAATTTAGTTGAGACAAAACATGCAGTTTTATAGCAAATTTAGGCAAATATTTAGCTAATGTATATTTGCACACTTTGTAATAATTTTAAATCTCCTAAAGTTGAAACGAACAATGTAATTATACCTCTTCATAAAAACCCAAACTAACTATTTTGTATACTGCACTTCAAATGTTGAGCGTTACTAACAAGTTTCTGCATGGCTGTAAGTTAAACGTCTGCACGTATGGGTCTGTTTATATCAAAACGTTAATTAGAGTTGAAATGAATGATCCTGATTCACAGCATTGTTAAAACAATGCAGTTCCACAATGTTGAACGCAAAGAGTCTTTGAGTACCATTAATCCCTTGATGTATAACGGTGAAGATGACTGTTACAAATGCTAATTTGAGAGAAAAGGAGATTATGAAAAGGAAGAAATGGTATTGACCCTACACAGTTAGATTTCAGTTGTGTTTTTTAGTTCACTGCAAGTCAAACTTTAAGATTTAGCAAGAATTATGAAGACCTCTGTTCCTGTTTTTATCACAATCGTTTTACTTGGCTTGTTAATTTTCATTAAGATGGCACAATAAATTATAAAAAGTGACAAAACTGAAATATCACAAAATGCATAAAGCCTATATCCGCAAAAGCACCAGAATTAACTTAGAAAAATCTCTGCACGGGTTTCATGTAGCGCCAATAAATATAATAGCTGAACGTCAGAGACATTTTATGTCGCATTGAAATGCTTCATATAGTTCATATTAGAACAAAGACGTTTAACCACTGATCTTGAGCACATACATACATGCGAATACGGACAGGCACGCGCAAACTGAAGACTATTTCCCCCATCGTTTTAAATTCATGTTATCTAGAGATGACAAGTTTATATTTCGTAAACATAATGCTGCATTTTCCAATACTGTCTTATAAATCATTTGTAATGTAATTAGTCATATCGAACTCCTGCTTGCTGCATGGTATAGTTTTGTTTACGTTCCAAATATATCTGTAGCTTATTCTTTATGCACATTGGTCTATCCGCTGTTTCACACCGTTTTCAAAAGTTCGTTGCGAAATTAGTCATACACTTGACATCTTACACGAAAGAATAAAAAGAATAAATACAAAAACGGTAAAAAATTCCAAATAAATTCAACAAACGAAATCGTGTAATTTCAGGCAATGATTCCTCTTTGCTTTTTCATTACAAAATCCTTCAAAATGTTGAACTCTCAAGTACTTCAAACATCAATCCCATATTGAATTGTAATGACACGTAAAAAACGAAGAACATCTTATGTCTTTCGTAACTGAACGTGATAAATCACAGTCTTTCATGCAAAACCCAAACTGAAAGTATTTTCTTGACGGCGTTTAAAAGTTAAACCTATACTAGCTACCGAGCTTCTGGGTGTAAAACTTTTGCAAGTATCGGAAAGGTTTACAAATGTAAAACGTTGACTAGAAGTGATGTATCAGATCATGAATTCACAATGTCGAACAATACCGTTGCACATTGTTGCACATAAAAAGTTTTATTGTTTAGCTCAATTATCATTTGACTTAAAATAACAGTCAAATTCAATTAATAAAGGAAGAAAAGCTATTCAACCGACACAGTCAAATTTCAGTTGTGTGTTCAGTTCACCAAGTGAAACAAAGATTGCTACAATCATGAAAGGATCGTACTAGCTTTCATTACGAACTTTTTACAACCTATAACTATATAACGGACCAACCATTGCAAGAGTTTAGTTTAAACATGGAGCTATCGACGCATATCCTCCGTAATTGCTAATTTAGTTGAGACAAAACATGCAGTTTTATAGCAAATTTAGGCAAATATTTAGCCAATGTAAGTTTGCACACTTTGTAGCAGTTTTAAATCTCCTTAAAAAGTTGAAACGAACAATGTAATTATACAGCATTTCTTCATAAAAAACCCAAACTAACTATTTTGTATACTGCACTTCAAATGTTGAGCGTTACTAACAGGTTTATGCATGGCTGTAAATTAAACGTCTGCACGTATGGGTCTGTTTATATCAAAACGTTAATTAGAGTTGAAATGAATGATCCTGATTCACAGCATTGTTAAAACAATGCAGTTCCACAATGTTGAACGCAAAGAGTCTTTGAGTACCATTAATCCCTTGATGTATAACGGTGAAGATGACTGTTACAAATGCTAATTTGAGAGAAAAGGAGATTATGAAAAGGAAGAAATGGTATTGACCCTACACAGTTAGATTTCAGTTGTGTTTTTAGTTCACTGCAAGTCAAACTTTAAGATTTAGCAAGAATTATGAAGACCTCTGTTCCTGTTTTTATCACAATCGTTTTACTTGGCTTGTTAATTTTCATTAAGATGGCACAATAAATTATAAAAAGTGACAAAACTGAAATATCACAAAATGCATAAAGCCTATATCCGCAAAAGCACCAGAATTAACTTAGAAAAATCTCTGCACGGGTTTCATGTAGCGCCAATAAATATAATAGCTGAACGTCAGAGACATTTTATGTCGCATTGAAATGCTTCATATAGTTCATATTAGAACAAAGACGTTTAAACACTGACCTTGAGCACATACATACATGCGAGTACGGACAGGCACGTGCAAACTGAAGACTATTTCCCCCATCGTTTTAAATTCTTGTTATCTAGAGATGACAAGATTATGTTTCGTAAACATAATGCTGCATTTTCCAATACTGTCTTATGAATCATTTGTACTGTAATTATTCATAACGAATTCTTACTTGCTGCATGGTATAGTTTTGTTTACGTTCCAAATATATCTGTTGCTTATTCTTTATGCATATTGGTCTATCCGCTGTTTCACACCGTTTATAGTAGAGTTTATTAAAAAATTTAAGTATTCAAAAGTTCGTTTCGAAATTAATCATACACTTGACATCTTACACGAAAGAATAAAAAAGAATAAATACGAAAACGGTAAAAAATTCCAAATAAATTCAACAAACGAAATCGTGTAATTTCAGGCAATGATTCCTTGAAATGAAAAGGATCGTACAAGCTTTCCTTACGAACCTTTTACAACCTATACTATATAACGGACCAACCATTGCGAGAGTTTAGTTTAAATATGGAGCTATCGACGCATATCCTCCGTAATTGCTAATTTTGTTGAGACAAAACATGCAGTTTTATAGCAAATTTAGGCAAATATTTAGCCAATGTAAGTTTGCACACTTTGTAGCAGTTTTAAATCTCCTTAAAAAGTTGAAACGAACAATGTAATTATACAGCATTTCTTCATAAAAAACCCAAACTAACTATTTTGTATACTGCACTTCAAATGTTGAGCGTTACTAACAGGTTTATGCATGGCTGTAAATTAAACGTCTGCACGTATGGGTCTGTTTATATCAAAACGTTAATTAGAGTTGAAATGAATGATCATGATTCACAGCATTGTTCAAACAATGCAATTCCACAATGTTGACCGCTAAGAGTCTTTAAGTAGTTTAACAAGTACCATTAATCTTTTGACGTATACGTAACGGTCAAGATGACTGTTACATGCTAATTGAAAGAAAAGGAGACTATAAAAGGGAAGAAATGGTATTGAGACGACACAGTTACATTTCAGTTGTGTTTTTAGTTCACTGCAAGTCAAACTTTAGATTAAGCAAAATTATGAAGACCTCTGTACCTGTTTTTATCACAATCGTTTTACTTGGTTGGCCTGTGTGTTTAGTAAGTACTTTTGAATTTTACTTTAATACCAGGTGCGGTTTTGCATGAGCTAGAAGGGAAGCGACAAAATCTTTAGTGATTTAGACACACTATAGAATAAAGTCATTTTTCAATTCTTTTCATAATCAAGTTGCCAGTCGTGTTGCGACTGAAAGATATTCCAGTATCTTGAACTAATTGTTTTTAAAATAATTACTAAATAAACTTTTCATTTGATCGCGATCATTTGACAAATATATTTTTATTCATACTTTTTTAGCAGCTCATCCTCGCAATGGTAAAGTGTATGATGCGATTTCTCCGACAATGAACTGATGAAACGTGATGCAGGTTATTATTACTCCTTACTAAACCTATGTATAAACAGAAACAATGACACATCACAAGATAAATGCCACTTCAATACGATCATTCTCATATTAAACAAAGTTTGTGACTAAGACCGTAAGAGTTACATTAAGTAGAGACTAGTGCATATGAAACGTTTTCCTTGGAAACATCGTATTAGCCATCACGAGTTAGCCCTATCTTGTAATGTACAGTGAATATTGCACATGGCATGCCTTTAGTCTCTCGACGAAATGCCGTCTCATGTGTAATACCTTACAAGCGGACTTCATTAGTAGCTATATATCGTTACGTCATTTATCATAACATTATCGCAGACACTTTCTATATTAAAAATTTTAGGCAGAGTGCAACACACAGGTATTCTATAAAGGCAGACGCGTCATACACAGATTAGATTGTGGTTATTATGGAATAAACCGGGCACAATGTCAATCATATGGCTGTTGTTTTGACAGTAAAAACGATGGCAATATAACTGCTTTTCAAGGTACGAAGAACCACAACATTCAACCATGAATATTTTATCTTTATCGATACATCTCATATTCCCCATTGCTCTTAGCAATAAAACACAACAACAGGTGTGGTACACTTCAGTACGGCATTCTACAATACAGTAGGGTAAAATATAGTACCCAAAAATATGTTAAACTCCTTTTAATAACATCGCTTTCTTGGTCTTTACTTAGAAATATCGGACCTCTGTCTTTTTGTACAAGCCTCGTACTAATGGCTCGGTCTGTACAAAAGACCTCGATCCGATTATTTCTCCGTAAAACCATGCGCTCGATTATTAAGGGCTTGGTAATAAAAATAACCTCTTTGTTATCTCAGGCCAGCATCAAATTCAAACCTCTTGAAATCAAATCTCAAGTATTTCTACAGAGTCTTCAACAATGTTTGTTTACCATGCATACCACCATATGTACATAACTACCACCTGTAATTCTACACAACATCTAATACATATCTTTTCTATTATAGTTCGTCAATGCACTAAAATAAAACCAGAACATCGTCTAGATTGTGGTTATCATGGAATCACAGAAAGACAATGCAGATGGAAAGGCTGCTGTTTTGATAGAAAATATAAAAACAAATTCAACTGTTTTTACCAAAGTAAGTACACATCATTTTCTTTTTTTATATTATTATATAAAACTTTAATTCAGCTTTACATAAATATAGACTTGTCTTATTTGCGTAAATTTTGCCTAGTCGTTTTTCTTTAATCATCACCCATGACATATTGTGAAATATTAATTATCAGATAGTTTGCATGACTACGTGAATTTTGATTTCAAATATACAGGACATTGCTTTAGAAAAACCTCTAACAAATAGAACAAATCATGCAGGGGATTTTTAAAGAAATCTTTCCTAGCGGCGGGGGTTATTTTTTAACAGCCTGTGATATAGCTCACTATAATTTCTTCGAACCAATTTCAAGACCGATAAGTTCGCTATATAGTTAAAAGATGCCCTGAATTAAATATTGCAGCTTAATATTCTAAATATGAGTTTGCACCAATATATATATAGGTAGTGCCTGCGATGTTGTCAAAGCAAACGAAAGAATAGATTGTGGTTGGTATGGAATAACTAAAAGCCAATGTGAAAGAAAAGGATGTTGCTACGACAAAAGTATTCTTCATGCCAAGCACTGCTTTTACAAAGGTACAGTGTTTTATGTTCCTCCTTAGTGATCGGGCATTTCAAGTTTGTTTCTCCATTTTACAGTGCAACTTAACACTTGCCTATCTGCTTTTGTCAAAACTAACCCAAGAGAGATATAAATCAAAACTAATAACAAATTGCCTATAATCTACTTCATGTAAATGAAATAGCGACATGAAACTAATTTACCTTTTCATTTTCTTTTAGGAAGTCTTTAAGTGAGGATTCTTCGTTCGCACGACGATTAATAATCTTGTAGTATAGTCGTAGTCAAATATACTCCCTTGTTATGGCATTGTTAACGTTCGTTTTTCATTAAAGTTCTATTAGTTTATGAAATGCTTGCCTATTTTGGAAGGTGACCCAGTTACAAACAAACTAAATGAAACTAAACCACAACACAAACAAAACATGAGAATTTTTCTATTTTACAAACGCGGACTTGTTTGTGAAATATAACGATCGCTTGCTTTCTTCATTTTCAAACACCAGCATTCCAATAAAGCGCCATGTTGTATTACATTAATTTGAAAGCGATGCTTAAAATGGCGACTGTAAAAGTATCTGGGCAGGTAATGAAATAAATAACAGGCTCATTACGGACTTATAAGGCCAACCTTTTGCGCAAAAAGTTGTTTTGACGGGATATTTTAGTGGAACTCAAAAGTAAAACTTTCAGACCGAAAATAGGAGTATGACATGAGTAACCTTTTTGGTCGTTTGAATATGACACTTGAGCATTCTAACATCATCAACATCAATGACGCTACCGAAAAATTCAGACGAACTTTCAAAACTTGCATTTAAACAACAAGTGGTATATAATCCCCAATATATTCACGCGTTGAAAAGTCTGTTTCGTGCAAAGTCATAACATACGAGTTTATCGTTGGAGTCTTTGCCAGGTTTCAAAGGGTTGCGCAATAATTGCAATAATTTGCATGGCCCTTGTTTGATTTTATACGCCTCAATTCAGTTTTCTCTGGCATAAATATATGGTGTCTTTAGGGTTATTTGGGTCCAGAACGACAAAATAGATTATTTGTTCACAAGTTCTGTCTTTTGATTAAATCAATCAATCCTAGTCTTGGCTATATAAAACTGCAAGATCGCTTTACACCTAATTGAAATACATCTTCAATTGTAAAACCTCTCTTTCAACTGGTATAGGACGAAACATAAATTAACACTTTCAAAAGGAGGTAATTTTCATTAAGATGGTACAATAAATTATGAAAAGTGACAAAACTGAAATATCACAAAATGCAATATCACAAAGCCTATGTCCGCAAAAGCACCAGAATTAACTTAGAAAAATCTCTGCACGGGTTTCCTGTAGGGCTAATAAATATAATAGTTGACCGTCAGAGACATTTTATGTCGCATTGAAATTCTTCATATAGTTCACATTAGAACAAAGACGTTTAACCACTGACCTTGAGCACATACATACATGCGAATACGGACAGGCACGCGCAAACTGAACACTATTTCCCCCATCGTTTTAAATTCATGTTATCTAGAGATGACAAGTTTATATTTCGTAAACATAATGCTGCATTTTCCAATACTGTCTTATAAATAACTTGTAATGTAATTATTCATAACGAACTCTTACTTGCTGCATGGTATGGTTTTGTTTACTTTCCAAATATATCTGTTGCTTATTCTTTATGCATTGGTCTATCCGCTGTTTCACACCGTTTATAGTAGAGTTTATTAAAAATTTAAGTATTCAAAAGTTCGTTGCGAAATTAGTCATACACTTGACATCTTACACGAAAGAATAAAAGAATAGCTACGAAAACTGTAAAAATTCCAAATAAATTCAACAAACGAAATCGTGTAATTTCAGGCAATGATTCCTCTTTGCTTTTCATTGCAAAATCCTTAAAATGTTGAACTCTCAAGTACTTCAAACATCAATCCCATATTGAATTGTAATGACACGTAAAACGAAGAACATCTTATGTCTTTCGAAAATGGCTGAACGTGATAAATCACAGTCTTTTCATGCAAAACCCAAACTGAAAGTATTTTCTTGACGGCGCGTTTAAAAGTTAAACCTATACTAGCTACCGACCTTCTGGGTGTAAAACCTTTGCAAGTATCGGAAGGTTTACAAATGTAAAAACGTTGACTAGAAATGACATGTATCAGATCATGAATTCACAATGTCGAACAATACCGTTGCACATTGTTGCACATAAAAAAGTTTTATTGTTTAGCTCAATTATTATTTGATTAAAATAACAGTCAAATTAAAATAATAAAGGAAGAAAAGCTATTCAACCGACACAGTCAAATTTCAGTTGTGTGTTCAGTTCACTGCAAGTGAAACAGAGATTTAGCTACAATCATGAAGAGGATCGTACTAGCTTTCATTACGAACTTTTTACAACCTATAACTATATAACGGACTAACCATTGCAAGAGTTTCGTTTAAAGATGGAGCTATCGACGCATATCCTCCGTAATTGCTAATTTAGTTGAGACAAAACATGCAGTTTTATAGCAAATTTAGGCAAATATTTAGCTAATGTATATTTGCACACTTTGTAATAATTTTAAATCTCCTTAAAAAGTTGAAACGAACAATGTAATTATACAGCATTTCTTCATAAAAAACCCAAACTAACTATTTTGTATACTGCACTTCAAATGTTGAGCGTTACTAACAAGTTTATGCATGGCTGTAAAGTTAAACGTCTGCACGTATGGGTCTGTTTATATCAAAACGTTAATTAGAGTTGAAATGAATGATCCTGATTCACAGCATTGTTAAAACAATGCAGTTCCACAATGTTGAACGCAGAGTCTTTGAGTACCATTAATCCCTTGATGTATAACGGTCAAGATGACTGTTACAAATGCTAATTTGAGAGAAAAGGAGACTATGAAAAGGAAAGAAATGGTATTGACCCTACACAGTTAGATTTCAGTTGTGTTTTAGTTCACTGCAAGTCAAACTTTAAATTTAGCAAAATTATGAAGACCTCTGTTCCTGTTTTATCACAATCGTTTTACTTGCTTGTTAATTTTCATTAAGATGGCACAGTTATAAAAGTGACAAAACTGAAATATCACAAAATGCATAAAGCCTATATCCGCAAAAGCACCTGAATTAACTTAAAAAAATCTCTGCACGGGTTTCCAGTTGGGCCAATAAAAATAATAGCTGAACGTCAGAGACATTTTATGTCGCATTGAAATGCATCATATAGTTCACATTAGAACAAAGACGTTTAACCACTGACCTTGAGCACATACATACATGCGAGTACGGACATGCACGTGCAAACTGAACTATTTCCCCATCGTTTTAAATTCATGTTATCTAGAGATGACAAGTTTATATTTCGTAAACATAATGCTGCATTTTCCAATACTGTCTTATAAATCATTTGTAATGTAATTATTCATAACGAACTCTTACTTGCTGCATGGTATAGTTTTCTTTACGTTCCAAATATATCTGTTGCTTATTCTTTATGTACATTGTTCTATCTGCTGTTTCACAACGTTTATAGTAGAGTTTATTAAAAAATTTAAGTATTCAAAAGGTCGTTTCGAAACTAATCATACACTTGACATCTTACACGAAAGAATAAAAAAGAATAAATACGAAAACGGTTTAAAATTCCAAATAAATTCAACAAACGAAATCGTGTAATTTCAAGCAATGATTCCTTGAAATGAAAAGGATCGTACCAACTTTCCTACGAACCTTTACAACCTATAATATATAACGGACCAACCATTGCGAGAGTTTAGTTTAAATATGGAGCTGTCGACGCATATCCTCCGTAATTGCTATTTTGTTGAGACAAAACATGCAGTTTTATAGCAAATTTAGGCAAATATTTAGCCAATGTAAGTTTGCACACTTTGTAACAGTTTTAAATCTCCTAAATAGTTGAAACGAACAATGTAATTATACAGCATTTCTTCATAAAAACCCAAACCTATTTTGTATACTGTACTTCAAATGTTGAGCGTTACTAACAAGTTTATGCATGGCTGTAAATTAAACGTCTGCACGTATGGGTCTGTTTATATCAAAACGTTAATTAGAGTTGAAATGAATGATCATGATTCATTGTTCAAACAATGCAGTTCCACAATGTTGACCGCTAAGAGTCTTTAAGTAGTTTAACAAGTACCATTAATCTTTTGACGTATACGTAACGGTCAAGATGACTGTTACAAATGCTAATTTGAAAGAAAAGGAGAATATAAAAGGGAAGAAATGGTATTGAGACGACACAGTTACACTTCAGTTGTGTTTTTAGTTCACTGCAAGTCAAACTTTAAGATTAAGCAAGAATTATGAAGACCTCTGTACCTGTTTTATCACATCGTTTTACTTGGATTGGCCTGTGTGTTTGGTAAGTACTTTGAATTTTACTTTATTGCAGGTGCGGAAACCGCTTGAGCTAGAAGGGTAGCGACAAAATCTTTAGTGATTTAGACACACTATAGAATAAAGTCATTTTTCAATTCTTTTCATAATCAAGTTGCCAGTCGTGTTGCGACTAAAAGATATTCCAGTATCTTGAACTAATTGTTTTAAAATAATTAGTAAATAATCTTTTCATTTGATCGTGATCATTTGACAAATATATTTTTATTCATACTTTTTTAGCAGCTCATCTTCGCCATGGTAAAGTGTATGATGCGATTCTCTCCGACAATGAACTGATGAAACGTGATGCAGGTTATTATTACTCCTTACTAAACCTACCTGTACAAACAGGAAACAATGACACATCACAAGATAAATGCCACTTCAATACGATCATTCTCATATTAAACAAAGTTTGTGACTAAGACCGTAAGAGTTACATTAAGTAGAGAGACTAATGCAGATGAAACGTTTTCCTTGGAAATATCGTATTGGCCATCACGAGTTAGCCCTATCTTGTAATGTACAGTGAATATTGCACACATTAAGAATGCGCTTTTGTCTCTCCACGAAATGCCGTCTACATGTGTAATACCTTACAAGCGGACTTCATTAGTACCTATATATCGTTACGTCATTTATCTTAACATTATCGCAAACACTTTTTATATTGAAATATTTTAGGCAAGTGCCCCGTAAAGGGGCTATTACTTATACTTGTGGGAAAACAGTTCATAAACAGATTAGATTGTGGTTATAGTGGTATAAACCGGGCAACATGTGAATCAAATGGCTGTTGCTTTGACAGTACAAATCGATGGCAATATAACTGCTTTTTCAAAGGTACGAAGAACCACAACATTCAACCATGAATATTGTATCTTTGTCGATAAACATCTCATATTCCCCATTGCTCTTAGCAATAAAACACAAC